TGTCAGAGAATGGTTAAGGAGCTAGACTGTTGATCCTAGAAGAGCAGGCCAGAGGAAGAGATGGGCATGGGAGCTAAGGGTGTTTGTCAGAGAATAGTTAAGGAGCTAGACTGTTGATCCTAAGCCAGAAAGGAGAGGAGGACTGAGGGAGGTGAAGTGGGAATAAAAAATGGTAGGGCCAATGAATCAGCAGTCTTCAGGGGCTGGACATTGGCTTGAGTGTGAAGAGGACAATAAGTGAGCTTGGAATCATTGGAGGCAATGGTGAGGGAGTGGAACTGGTAACCCTATCCCTAACCACAACCCCAAACCCAACCCGAACCTATTTTCAAATTATCGGTTACAATCCATTATTGTGCCTTGAAACCAAGTTAGTAGGTCATGAAAAACACTTTTTACAAAGTAAAATAGAATAGAAAATATTAGAAGCAAATGCATGAATCTTTAGCAAGAACTGAATCCATTGCCAATTAAGATGAGCCACACTCATGATATGAACGCATAGATTGGCTACAGATATGTCATTCGGTTGTCTGCTTGCTGGCATCACATGGGGTTTTTCTCATATACGATATCGACTTGACCATCATCATGATGGAAGGGTTGTTAATGCTGTACAGTTTAAATCTGTCATGAACAGAATTTGCAGTTAATTGCAATGTGAAGGGTAGATGAATTTCATCTTCTGTCTGCCAAAGTGTCAAGACTTTTCCGTTAGGAACGCCCAGTGTTCTTTGCAGAAAAATTGTTAGTGGGTGCAACATTTTTCAAGTTTATGACAATTGTATCTTAATTTAATTAATTTACCTAGTACGTAGTGCCCTTAAAATGCAAGAAGATAAACATGAACTCCAAAGAACAAAGGCATGTTTAAGATCAGTTACTGGATCTGAAAGTATAAATATTGACAATGTGAAGAAAAATAATTGACTCTGGAATCAGTAAGCTTTGTGTTTGGCTGAACTACTTTTCTGAAGTATAGTCTAGAAAAGAAAAAAGTACAGACTTTATAATGAAGATTATTTGATTTTTTATCATCTGTTCAAAACTCAATTAAAATGAACAGACTCTAATATATTATTTATAATGGTATTCTTGCAGAGGAGGGCTTAACCTTCACAATTAAAAGGACATGTGAAGTCAACACAGCAGGCTGGAATTGTCAATAAGGAGAAAATCGTCAAAGGAGAAAACAGAATCAGTGGCACCATTTCTTAGTTACATTACATCTAGTGAGAGAACCCTTTATCATTATAGGTATAAAACATATATATCTAGCGGCTTGCAAACCTATTCCGTCATTATCTATGAATATGGAACTCATGATTTTTGGTGAATCATTTGGTAAGTTAAAAAATGAACTCTTTAAAGTTAGCCCAGTATATCATCAAATGTGCGCTACTGCAAGACATTTAGAAGGGAGAATTTTGGTTCAGGTGTGGTGTAGATTTTTCACTGATAAAGAAAGTGCTTTTAGTTTTTGTCAGGTATGTCTGGCAAGATCATTTCATGGAGAGTTTGCTGTGGGAGTTAAGCTTAACCTCATGGGCAATTGAGATAGAGTCACAAAACTGTAAAAGTGTGTGGTTGGACCAGATAAATCAAAGATGGGAAAACTCAATAGTTCCGAGTGATGGAACTGCAAATGCAGCCGGAAACCTGATGGTGCTATTTAAGAACAAAAACAAACAAATTTTTCTTTGAATGTATGAAAGCGCAGTTTGGAACCCGTGCTTTATACATCTCCAGGCTTTGGCATCCTAAGGAATTCGGCTGGACCTCGTGGCGGTATTGAAAAAATTAGTGGAAGTTGTTAATTTTATTAACGGAAGCTCACTTGAATGGCCAACTTTTTGATAAATTTTAGTAGACCAGACTATTGCAATGCACTTACTGTATCTTCCCGAAGTTTGTTATTCCTCCCAAGGGAAAACACTCAGCAGGGCATATGCAGTGCATTATTTTGGCTGAGAAGCCATCTCATTTGGCAAATATTTTCAAGGATGATAATTTAGGTAGTAAAATTGGCGTACATAAGTGGTATTTTCAGTTCTCTCTTAACACATTAAATTTGAAACTTCAGAGAGCAAATAACGATATATTTCAATATGTTGAACATATCCAAGAGTTCCACAGAGCCTGCAAGTTAGTGCTAGCAAGTCCATGCACAGTGAACCCAGGGGGGTGGGAGAGGATGGGAAATGGCTGCTGCCAGGAGGCTGGGGCATGGGACAGTGTGATGGCACAGGCTGCAGAGGAGGGCCTTTAAGGGACTAGGGAGAACAGTTATCTGAGGCAGCAAGGAGGAGCAAGGGGGACACTAACCCACCTCCAGGCCATCAGGAATATGGGTTAGGGGAGGAAGAGAGTTTCCCCAAGCAGGCTGTAGGAGAAGCATTGTCCCTGGGAGAGGCAGGCTGCAGGTGGGTAGAGGGTTTAGAGAAGGGTAGGAGTGAGAGCCCTCCTGGTGGTGAGAGGTGGAGTTAGATGCAGCGTGATGGGACCACCTGGCTATGTTTGTAGGTGAGTGGGAGGCTGAGGCTGCAGGCTCTCACAGTGGGCATCACTGTGCTGTCTGGGGGAATTTGCAGCAAATGGCTTGGAGCGCTTGGCCACCTCTGAGGGTGAGGGGTTGAGGGGAAAGACTAGCTTGTAATCCAGAGGCATTTGAAGGCTTTGAGGCTGCTGGTCTTGCCTGAGGCTGGGGGGAAGTTGTCGGTCAATGCACCTCATGCACAGCCACCACGTGTCTGTCAGTGGAGGCTTGCATGAGCTATGAGGCTGAACAGGTTGCAGGCGGAGCTTCCAGATCAAGACAGACTAGGAAGAAAGGCCTGGTGATCTATTTCCAAAAATTAGGCAGTGAAAATCCTTTGGATCACAGAGGTTCAGTCTGTAACCAATCGTGCGGACGACGCAGGACGGGACCACGTTTCCAGTGTGCATGGGGTCTTCGTGAGGTGCAGGCTGACTTGATGGCAGCCGTTAGCAACAGCAGTGTTAACCCAGAGCTCATGTGGGAGTTGGGAAGTGCTGTGGAAATTCAGGAGGCCATTTCGGTGACTGTTGTTCTCGAAGATTGTAGTTAGAAAGCTGTAGCATGCAGGGAGAGGGCACTGGATCAATTTACTGTAGTTTTGTGCCCACTGAGAACTGAACTAGTGGTTTGTTGTTGGCTTTGGCAGGTCGAGCCAGCATTTCCTCAGGTGGTACTTGGTGGCCCTACCTCCAGTGACACACACATACCCTTCAAGACTTCGGAATTAAGCTGTATCTATTTACCAAAGTATGATAAGCTCCTCAGGATGTTAGTAGATTTTATGAGAAAAAAAGAACCAAATGGTTCAGGAGAAGTGCTAAGAGTGTGAAAGTTAAATACAGTGGCGTCACTGTCACCTCCTCTTCCTGGGTGCCCTTCAGCCTCACAGACTCTTGTGACAACACAGACGTCTTCTTGAGATTCGGCAGTTGGTGACAGTCTCGTCTTATTAGAGGAGAAGCTGGCATCTCTTGAGCAGCCCTACTAACCACATCTGCAAGTGGTGTCCAGGCTTCGTCACCTAGATGACTGTGCTCGTGAACAAGTTGGAAGTGGTGACCGCTGTCTCTGGCTTGCTGCCTCACCGTCTGTTTCTATTGCAGGTGCTGCCGCTCAGTAAATGTAATTTGAAGAAGGCAAGGAAGAGGAACCCATGGCTTTAGCTGGCTGCCCAGATTCCCTTTTGCACCATCCGTACTACCAGGTATGGGTGAGCATGGATGTCTGATTCTGGCAAAATGGTGTTGGTCAAGGGCCTTGGCACAAATGTCCTTAACAACCTGAACTGTTTTGGATACTAGTAGGTCACTACAGAAATAGCGGAGCAGGGACTGCTGACAAGTTTCACCTGGCACATTCTGCCATGGTCTTCCTGTTTCTCCTTATCATTGTATTGCCATTTGACTCTGGCATCGTTTTTTAAAATTTGCCTGCTAATAGCTGTAATTAGGTGTTTGGAGTGAAACAGGTGCTGAATTTTCACCTCCCAGGTCCTAAAACTCCAAATGGCAACTTGGGATGATGGCAAATATTGGGATACTCACCTGGGGACATAGTCTTACAGGGCAAGGAAGCAGGAAGGAAAAGGGGTGGTTCCTTAATGGGTGGCTTTTGGCCTAGCTATCACATGCCCTTTAGAGATGAAACAGTCTTAGTTATTTAGTGCTGCTATAACAGAAATACCACAAATGGGTGGCTATAACGAAAAGATATTAATTTTCTCACAGTTAAGGAAACTAGAAGTCCGAATTCAGGGTGCCAGCTCTAGGGGAAGGCTGTCTCTCTCTGTCTGCTCTGGGGAAGGTCATTGTCAGTCATGTGGCATGAACCCTTTCTTCTGTCTGTGCTTGCTTGCTCTTTTATACCTCAAGAGAGTTGGACTCAAAACATACCGTACACCAATACTGCCTAATTAACATAACAAAGAAAATTCATCCACAAATGGGATTGTAACCACAGGTATAGGGGGTTAGGATTTACAATACATATTTTTGGGGGATGCAATTCAGCCCATAACAAGGGGCCTTTTTCAGATTGACCCCCGCACCCCAGCTGTGCGCTATCATCAAGTGGGGTTTTGTGGGGGAACACGTTTATCTCTGATCCTTCCATTTCTCTGGCTCTTCTTCATGGGCTGTTAGAAAATTTTTTTGTCTGCAGATTTCCTTCCTCTTCTGAAACAGATACTAGTTTGAACTTAACTGTAGATGACACATTTTTCAGGGGAGGCCCTTGGTTCTTTGGATTTGATACCCAAATCTTGCTTTATCCTTACCAACACCTTTATCATTTAAAATCCTTGTGCCTTCTCTTGGCTTCCATCTTTCCAGCTGGAAGAGCCCTCAGTTTTCAAGTCCTTCTGTATGCTCTGCCTGGGATCAGATGTTTGCACTTTTCTGCACTCGTGTTCTTCCCTTGATCTGTGAAGTCTGTTTTCAGCCTCCGTGATGAGACTTTGCTGGCAGCATTGCAGCTGTAGAGAGAGGTCTGTTTAAATTTTTTTGGTGTCAGAATGAAGCCAACCTTTGAAGAGAAGACTAAAGATTAGGAATACATTTAATTCTAATCAGTGAATTTGACATGGAGCCAAAACTGGTGACAAGCCAGAAAAGAGGACTGAAACCTCAGCCAGAGCTGTGAAGTTTAGTGGTGGCCTAAGTAAGGGTCTGTTGAGTGTGTCACCTGAATAAAGACAGTGTCCTCTGCCTCATACATGATTGTTTTCTTGCTGCTAAAGAGGCTGTAGTTGCCTGACCTCATTTATTAAAGTTCTGTGCTTTATCAGTGGGTCACAGGTCCAATTCTCGAGTGGCCAGTTAGCTTTGGCGAGTTCTGTGGATGCAGATTGCACCCCTTGCCCCAGCCTGCTGCCTTGCACTTCATACTGTTTGTCCCCAGAGATGGGATCGGTACGCTAAAAGGAAAATATCCCCATGTGGGAGTCCCTGTGAAAGTTATTTTAGAAGTGTCATCTTCAGCAGGGGACAGAGGAGGGTTTAAGGGCACGTGATGCCATAAGGGAAGGGTAACAGAACAAAGGCTCTCCTTGCTTTCCCTCACTGCCCACTAGCATTCTCAATTTCCTGGTGGTACATACAGAAGTGCAGAAGCGCAGACTCAAGTCACTGCCTTACTTTAGGGGCTTGGGAGCTGTTTGCATCACTATCCCCAGCTGCTGTCCCAGGAGCCGGGAAGCTGGGATGGTGGGCCTTCCCTGAGTGCTCTGCCATCCTTTGAGGAAATGCTCAGTAATGCCTTTCAGTGGCTTTTGAAGGCATTGTCTTACTCTTGTAAAAATCCAGCAGCAAGACTTGGCAGCATTTGTCCTCTGTTCCTGGAAAATTAGATGACAGTTCCAGAATTTCTCAGAAAATGGGATGATTTACAATGAGTTCCAGTCTTAAGCAATCTGCAGTTACAGCAGTTAGGTAAATCTCTACATTTTTATAGAGGAAAATTTCTTCCTAAATTCTTCACTGTATAAATAATTTTCTAATTCTAGCTGTTCACTAGTAGCTGTATCTTGGATAAAATACATGGTTCAGTCACTGAGTTACTGATATGTAGGGTTTTTATAAATATATACCAAAAAAAAAAAAAAAAAATCCCAAACCTATTGTCATCTGACTCATAGCGACCCTATAGGACAGAGTAAAACTCCCCTATAGGGTTTCTAAAGAGCAGCTGGTAGATTTGAACTGCCAGCCTTTTTGGTTAGCACCCAACCTCTTAACCACTGTGCCACCAGGACTCCATAAATATATACATACATATATATAAATTCACACACACACACACACATACACACACACACACACACACACACACACACACACACATATGCATACGCATGCACACACATAGTCCCTGGGGGGCGCAAACAGTTACGCACTCAACTATTAGCCAAAAGGTTGGCAGTAGTGGTTCCAACCTGTCCAGAAGCACCTCAGAAGAAAGGCCTGGCAGTCTACTTCGAAAGGTCATGCATTGCCTTGAAAACCCTATGGAGCCACTCTACTCTGCACACATAGGGTCGCCATGAGTTGGAAATCACTAGACAGCAGTTAACAACAACAACATATACACAGGAACACCCAAATTGTGTCCACTTAATAATTCTGCTTGCTGCTTTCGTGATAGATGTCAACTGATTGGAGCAGTGGGGGCTGGCAGGGTAAGGGACAAAATGCTTCATGTTAAGGCATAGCTTGTTCCTTTAAGATGTGATACTGTCATAGTTCTTTTACTTATTAACTCTGGGACCTTGGAAAAATCACATTAACTTTCTTGTATTTTGGTTTCCCTGTTGGTAAATGTCTTAGTTATCTAGTGCTGCTATAACAGCAGTACCACAAGTGGATGGCTTCAGCAAACAGAAGTTTATTCTCTCACAGTCTAGTAGGCTAGAAGTCCGAATTCAGGGTGCCGGCTCCAGGGGAAGGCTTTCTTTCTCTGTCGGCTCTGGAGGAAGGTCCTTGTCATCAGTTTTCCCCTGATGTAGGAGCTTCTCAGTGCAGGGATCTCGGGTCCAAAGGATGCGATATGCTACTGGCACTGTTTACTTGGTGGTACAAGGCCCCCATGTCTCTGGCACTGTTTACTTGGTGGTACAAGACCCCCATGTCTCTGGCAGTGTTTACTTGGTGGTACAAGGCCCCCATGTCTCTGGCACTGTTTACTTGGTGGTACAAGGCCACCATGTTTCTCTGCTCGCTTCTCTCTTTTGAGACTGGCCGAAGACACAACCTAATCTTATAGATTGAGTCCTGCCTCATTAACATAACTGCCTCTAATCCTATCTCATTAACATCATAGAGACAGGATTTACAACACATAGGAAAATCACATCAGATGACAAAATGGTAGACAGTTACATAATACTGGGAATCATGGCCTAGCCAAGTTGACAGATATTTTTGGCAGACACAATTCAATCCATGACAGTAAAAAAGGGGTAATAGAGGTTGTTGTGAGGATTAGAAAAAATGTGTGGAAATTACCTGGTACAGGACCTGCCACACCTTAGCAGCTTGATATAATTGCTGTCTTTAATTCCTTGGATATTGATTGAGCACTAGCTAGGTAACAGACCCCGTTTTGGTGCTGAGGATGTAGCTTTAAATTGGGCATGCAGAGTTCTGGGGCTCCTGTGTCCTGGTGGGGGGAGAGAGACACATAAACTACTGATAAATAAGGTAATTTCAAATAATGATATAATTTTGAAGCAAATAACATAGGGCAATGGGAGATAGAGGGTGGGCTGCCCTGGCTGTGAGGTCGGGGCAGGCCCGCTAGAGAGAGGCTGGTGAGCACTGAGAGCTGAGGAGGTCGTACCCATGCTGGACTTGGTGCTGCAAGCTGGGGAGCTCGCAGATGGGGAGCAGCAAATGCAAGGGTGGAAGGAGGGAATGCGCTTGGCACTCGAAGGTCAGAGTGGCTGGAGTGGAATGAATAAAGGGTGTGAGGCCAAGAGGAATGGTACGATCTTGGGGAAGCCTGTGTACCACAGTAAAGACGTTAGATTTTACTCAGCTTGGAAGGAGACATCTAGGGGATACTGTTCCTTGTCTGCAATTCTAAAATCCAAAGAGCTCTGAAACAAGAACTTTTTCCATTTCTCCTGTCATAGCAGAACCTCACTCGAATGCTTCCCTTCACACATTCTGCTGTGGGAGCGCCATGGGGTTGATTGCAGGTGCCACCCAGACCCCACACCTGTATCTGTATTCATTAGTGTATACACTAAATTATCTGTATAGTCTTAAAAATTCTTAATTCTCAACCACATCTAGCCTCAAGGATTTTGAAGAAGGGATTATGAACCTATTAGAAAAGTTGTAATAAGCAAAATCCACTACCCATCTGTCAGTTTGTTGTACTGTGGTGGCTTGCGTGTTGCTGTGACGCCGGAAGCTATGCCACTAGTATTTCAAATACCAGCAAGGTCACACATGGTAGACAGGTTTCAGTGGAAGTTCCAGACTAAGACTAGGAAGAAAGGTCTGGTGATCTGCTTCAAAAAATTAGCCAATGAAATCCTTATGAATAAGAACAGAACATTGTCTGACTTGCTTGCTTTGCACACGCCATTAGGAGGGAATGAGTCGCTGTAGGTGAACATCATGTTAGGTGAAGTAGAGGGCCAGCAAGGGGAGGCGAGGGTGACCCTCGGTGAGGTGGATTGGCACAGTAGCACCAGTGATG